TTCTGTGTATATATTATACACATGCATAATATGCGCGCGGGTGTGTGATATACACGCACATTTTGAATATTTAATCAAATTATAATTGATCGTATAGGTATAATATTATACATAAATAATACGTAATGTATATTACATGAATATGCGCGACGAAAATAATATTATGTGCTCACGAGTGTCGCGATTATGAGTAAATATAGAATTATTCTATGCATTGTCACCCGTACCATACTAACTAGCACGATAAAGCTCGGATTATCAAACACAAGGACGTAGTACTTGTGCGACGAGTGAAACAAAGTATCTACGTATTAGATTATCAAAAAGCTACAGATAAAATCGTGTCTCTATAATTGGGTTTGGTATGGTATTTAATTTTTTAATTACTGATTTGAATCCATTATGGATAATTCTATAGGCCTTACCCCAAGCGATTTCCATAATAATGTTCAAATAATCGATACGCATAATAAAATATCATGCGAATGTGTTTTGCACATCAAACTTCGATACTTTGAATAATCATCTCATCTGTTCATAATTTCCTTAGCCGTTTATAATATACAGATACGCGGCGATGAGTTACTTAAATCTATTGTTTTTAATATTTAAATCTATCAAACACGTCGCAATAGTCTTATAATTTAGGCGTCTCTTGTCTATGGTTTTCCCTATTTCGATCTCTACTCACTGTAATAATATATAGTACCTAATATATATGTAGGAACTATATGTATATATATATATATATATGTCATTTTCAATTGGAACACACAACGACGAAGACGGTCATTTGATGAATAGCACACCTATATTTTATATAATACGTATATACCGCAGGTGCTAGTAGTCGTAAACGTTCTGCCTACGGTCGCGTTCTCGGTCCGATCTTAATTAACATTTGACTCGACGAAAAAAAAAAAAAATTAGTCTGTGACGTAATTATTTTACCACAGTCCATTTGGAAATGTATCAATCAATAATACGTATATGTATGTATGTATATATACACAAGTATAAAATATAATATGGCTTTATCCTAAGAACTGACTCGTTGCGTCGTCTGTTTTGCTTTTTTCTCGATCTCTATCTCACCGGCGTGCTCTCAATCCGTCATCTACCCACGCCTGGACTGCACTTCACTATAATATTATGTGTTATAAGTTGTAATATATTAATATTACCGCACGCACCAATTATTATTTTTCGTACTCATTCACGTGATGTGCAGTGTATATATGTTTATACGTTATTTAACATGTATGTATGTGTGTGTGTGTGTCCACGCATATATATATAACGTCATCACGCCCGAGACAAATGCTCTTCCATTAACGCGTTAAACAAGTGTTTCAAATTGACGCTGCGCCGCTGCGGTTTAGATTGATAATAACGGCGTATTCATTAACGCCACTGCCGCCGCTACAGCGGAGCGTTTTTGAAAATTGAATTTTTTATATAATAAACGTCACACAATTATATAATGTAAGATTTACGGTTATAACTTATGTCATGCATTTAATACGTACACATTGCGAAAAATGCGTTTGATTTATTGCAAATATTATTAAGGGAATATCGAAATCCGTGGGATAAATGGTAATAACGATATAATATAATTATAATATTATGCTGGGCACACTCGGGACACATTCTTTTACTCATGCATCCGCTTCTTTGAATCGCTATACAGCAGAATATCCAACAGCTAGAGGCGATTTAAAACAATTTCAAGGACTATTTATCATTTTTACTATTATTTTTATTATTACAATTATTGCTGTATATTTTGATATTAAAATATTTGTACTGTCTAGTGTTGTAAGTTTCACGTATCTAAAAAACATAAATATATTGCATGTATACATAATAATTAAAATAATATTACGTTTTTATGAGTATGTATTTACCCTACATATTAATCGATAAAAATACATATATTTAAGTATAATAAAGGATGACATCAGCAGTAGTAAAAAAATAAAATACACATTTTAATAATAATTAATTATTATAATCGAGCTGTCGTCGTCAATCGTTATACTGAAATGATAAAAGTAAATAAGTGTTGTAATCACTGTCAACTATAGAAAACGCTGTCAAATTTGTAACATTCTATACTTACATAAAATATTAACCACTAAAAAAAAAAAAAAAAAAAAAAAACACATTCGATACTATTTGACTTTGTCCGAATTAGTATTTACTATTTGACATTAAAATAACACCATACGGTAGTAAGTTCGACATTCGCCACCAACACGAGCGAACTCAAATTTATAATTATTAACAGCCAGTTTTACGAAGAAAGTATTATTTTAAGTATATTAATTATATTGATAAATGTTTTAGGTATATAAATCAAATGTGTCTTTTTTCTTGACATACAAATCTCCTGTACAAATGTTTAGACCATCCTACTACGGAAAACTTATCCATTAGAAATCTTTTCCTGGATAGATATCTATATACCTAATATAATAAGTTTCCTTCGACCACGCTTCAAAGGCATTCTGGTTCCATATTATACTAATGTAGATATAAGTATGACTTTTAATCTCGGGGTCGTGGGTTTTTGCCCTACGTTGGACGCCATTTTATCGTATACGCCGATATTTCCTACTAATAAATCAAAATACACCCAATTATTAAAACATAATCATTTTATTAGAATTGCGTAGTGTTGTAGGTACACAGTGGCCATACCGAGATATCGCCGTTGAAGAACCACTTTCTGTCTTTTCTTATTTCTTATGTATCATATCATAACCTATAGTTTACAGCTATGATAATGTATACATATATAATTTTAATTAGCCTAATTATATTTATACTTTATATTAATAATAAAAGTGGATACTTATTACATCATTGCTTACTTAATAATTCAATTATATATAGATTATAGATAATATCTAACACATAATACAATATACGTTTATATAAATAAGTGTAAAACTGTTAATATCGAATAAATAACATGTAAAGAGTGTAATTTTTTCACTTTTCACACCTATTATAAATTCTTAGTTTAGTTTAGTATCTTAAATATTGATTGGTCAGAAACTTAAAAATCTTAATATTATACTTACCTATAACGTCCAATCTACAGTGTATTAAATCATAGTATACTTCCTCTATAATTAAAATCTATGTTTTACCATTGACCTGATTAAATAACTTACATCTATTAGATTTTAAATACGTCACGATATACATACGAGTATTGTAGTATGTAAAACCACATCAGTTATAATTAATAAATAAAATACATTTAACCACGTGTCTGTATTTATTATAAAAAAACAAAATAAAATAATAGATTATGACTGATTTAATAATAATGTAATAATTTATAATACATTTTAATTATTTTTTTTTTATAGTTAGGTACTATACTACTATATAATATTGTATTTAATCGCAGTAATTAAAATAAAATATAATAATATAAGCATTTTAACGGTTATAAACACGGTAATATTATAATATGCACCATAATTTACTATAATTATATTTATATATATGTATATGTAAAACATCAACGTATATAAAATATAAACATAAAAATTAACAAAATTCTTTTAATTTATGTTTTTAGATATATGATTTTAAAGAACTTTATTCTCAGTATCGCATCTAGATTAATGCTTTTATTACAATATTGTTTACGCAAAGTCAATTTCATATTTGTTATTATACACAACGTATTTAAATATTATGGAATATTAAAAAAGTATTTGGAGCTTGGGAATAATACGTGGTATTAGCAATAGTATAGGACAACAGTAACGAACATACGATTTTCTATTGAAAAAAGGTAGTGTCAGTTTTTTTATATATTTTATTTTTCGACGGTTTTTTTTAAAAATCATTTACAGTTTTAAATTTTTCAAATATTTCTATATTGTCTTCGACAAAACTAATTTAATCTATTCTGAATTTAAAACCAAAAAACGTTTATAAACATCCTGACGAAATACCAAAAAGTCATCACTTTGTCGCACGCACGAGTTGCGTATACTTAAAAAAAAGTAAATTGGCGTTTATGTAAAGCATGTATTCTCCGGTAGATTCAATAGTTTCACTTGAAGTTTTCCTTTCTTACTAGGGCTATATAAATCACTTCCTAAACATTTTTCTATATTAAAACCAAAAAAAAAATCCTGTGTATCATACGAAAACATGAATACTACTATTATCGCAACATATGCACAAAAGCAACGATGGATGTTGTCTTGTTGAGAGCTATTAATTATTGTGTGACGATAATAGTAGTACATTACACGAAGACTGGTGACTTTCAAATACTTAACACTATACATCGATCAACCAATGTAATTATTCAACTACAGCAGCGCGTTTCCAAAATCTGATACCATACAATTATACAGCGAAAATAACGACTTCACGCTTATATATTATTATAATCTCAAACATAATCTGATTCGTTTAGTATAAAATAAATTACCATAAGTACGCACCATAATCATATTTTGTTGGTGTTTTATTTTTTTTTTTTTTTTAATCCTTTTCTACCACTCATCGTCTATTTATATTAGGTATACATAATAATATATACTGTTATAATACGCAAACTCGCTGCCGATGAAGATTAAGATTTTGTGGCTCCTCCGAAAATATCGGAAACCTTTTTAATCGATCGATCATCGTACAAAAATAAACCTACGAGATTGCAGCGTAAGACATCTCAACTGTACAAGTGAACATATATTAGCCATTAGTAACTATGTTTATAATATTATATATAACTTTCAGTTATATAAATATAAACCATATGTTTTTATATTCATAACTGAATTTTAATTTTGTTCGTAATAATTATTTTCACGCGTATCACTATGGTTTATTTATATGTATAAAACCACGTTAATAAACAAACAAACCAACAAACGCTTGATTTAATAAAATATTCTAAAACTATATTTTACGTTTTACATAATAATACAGCCATACGCGGCTGTTGTGATAAATTTTTTATGTGGCCATTTAATCATATATGGGAAGATCCTGATCCGGCACCCAACGCGGTACTCCGCGTGCCGATATCCGAGGTTTGGGTTTACGTCTACAAAAAGGAGCGAAAATATGTAAATTTGAAAGATCGGGGGACGGGAATACTACAAACTAAGAATTGGATGGATAATTTCATGTCGAAACTTCGTCCCAAGACTCCGCCTGGTATGTGCGTAGTATTGGAAAAACGGCTGATAAAAAAGTGCTTGATCACAATCTACAAGAAAAAAAGAATATATGTAAGTACATACGACACACTTAATTATGTTATTTATTTTATATTTTCTTAAAAGTAATTTAATAGTGTCGTTGATTAATATAACAAACTTATATCACGAATTAATATTTATTTATTTTATTTGTTAAATCGATTATGTTACTATTTATTTAAGGATTTTACGATTTTGGCAGTTATTATAATAATCGATCGTAAACCTGCAACTGTTGTAAAATCATAACATAAATTTAATTTACTATGATGTAAAAATGTAAAACTCATAACAAATTTTGCTATTACTACTAAATTTAATATGTTATATACCTACGTAATAGAACGCATTAGTTATTATATAATATACGTAGTAGGTAGCTATAGTAGTTACTATTCATAGACAGATAGTTAAATGACAAATATTATTATTATTATTTATTTTAAGGTTGTTATATTGATTGCCTTCAAAATACTGGCTCTGCAATTAACTGACTGGATTAATTACACTCTCTTTATTAGTATTCTGAAATTTAAAATAAATATGCATATTATAATATTCTATTAAAAAATTGTATAGTATAGGTATATATAGTCTTTCGGCTTTAAATCAGCTTATCGTATGTTTTACAAATATGATTATAATATAGACAGCTGCTAGGTTAGGTTCTAAAATATCTATAATCTAAAAACTATACGCACCACAATGTATAATTATGATGTATAAAAAAAAAGCTTCCTAAATAGGACCTTACTATCTATAGAGACAGTTCGCCAAGCAATTATGTTAATCAAATTTATTTAAAAAAGGTTTTTGAAATATTCAAACATAGTCAATATTGATTTAATTAAATACAACATTTGTTATGCTATTAAGAAGTGTTTAAAAATTATAAAATGTTATTTATTTTAAATGAATACCACAATATTTTGAAGCACAAATTTTTAAACATAAATTTTAATCTAAATAAAAATATTCAAAGATGCTTAGAATAATGGGCAAACTTAGACTAAAAGTTGTCTTTTCTTTTTTTGCTATCAACTATCCTAAAACATAAATATGAGGCTTTAACTTCTTTACAAATAAATCACTGTCTCTCAAATATTCCTAATAATTGAAAAAAAAAAAAAAATATTTTTAAAAACTGATATTTTTAAGATTTGCAAAATGTTGTGCAGGTTTTCAAGATATTTAAATGATATTATTATATAGTAAATATCTTAACACTGATCTTAAAAGTCAAAATTAATATTCAATCTTTGAAATAAAAAATAAAATAGCTAAAAAGTATTAAATTCAAAACATACTGAACCAATTAGATTTTATATTTACTATACAATAAATATAAATTCAAATACGAAAAAATCAGTGAAATTTTTAAATTTCTTTAAAATAGTAATTACTAATGACCATTCAATAATATTTTAGAAAATCTTTCATCATTTATTTTTTAATGATTAACGGTTAACGTTTTATATTTGATTTAAAACCAAACGACTTTTATAAAATTGCTTTTGATTAAATTAAATACAATAATAATTATTACACGTAATTGGAATATATACGAATCTAATAAATAATTTTGCGATAAAATTAAAGTTATTCGGGTACCTACTCATAAATAATTAAAATACGTTTATTTGAACATAATATTGTATATAACGTTACGTTAAAAATTTAAATATTATATATATAGATACGCTTCCACTCGCTGCAGTTTATACTTTATGATACTCCTACGCGGAGTCGCATTTAAATCAAAATCGTTTAAATAATCATTCTAAAACGAGTAATTAGTTATTAAGCTGTTTTAATAATATTCGTTTTTGAAACTCGCTTATACCTATTATAGATCCCGGTTGAATTTCAAGATGAAAATATAACTATTGATAATCCGCGGTCAATTAATCATTCTGATCACAGAACAATAAGCGCCGAATAATTCGAATTGTCCGCTCGTATACAGGTTATTGAAAAAAAATTAAATAATATTGTAATGAAGTCAATAACACGTATTAAAAAAAAAAAAGTAATATATTTCATTTCTTTTTTGCTTTTATTTAAAATATTTCAATGTTACTAAAAATCATTTTATGTAGGGGTATTAATGTATTATATACCTACACGATAGCAATAAATAATAATTTATTATGATGATTCTTTTGATTTATATTTTCACGTCGAATACTTATACAAATTCGCGGGTAAATAAATAATAGTAGCCGAAACAACTCGGGTGAAATATATATAATATGAGTAATGTTTATACGCAAACGTATTTATAGCAAAAAAAAATTAGAAGCACAAAACAGGAATAGTACCTATATAAATTCAATTACAAATTAATGTGATATTATTACGTTAAGGTTTCTCTTGTTTATTTTAAGTATTATTGGCAAATTACCAATACCATGCAAGAGTCATTTTTCGAATTTTGATGTGCATGTGAAAATGTGCAGTCGTTTTAAATTGTATAATGTGAAGAAAATCACATAGTCAAATATTAGTAAGTTTAAGGTACATGACCTCGAATAATAATGATATTGAATCGGATGCAATTAATTGTCAGCATCGTAGTATCAACGGTATATAAAATCAAATTTATAATATAATATAAATTATAATATATTATAAAATATTTCATTCTGTCGATAATATTCAAATAACACGGTATTTTTTGAATTATATTTTTCCATATTTGTTTCTTTCGTTTACATCCATTAGTTAAATATTTCTTTTTTATTATTTCTTTTTTTTTATAATATACTGAAATACCAGTTTGCTACTTCATTATTTAGAGTTATATGTATAATATATTTTAATATATATTTAGTAATGTACAAAATAATACTATATAGACATATTTCATAGCTGCTTACAAATTATGATAACTCTATAAATTGCAAAAACATTAATTTATATAGATATACGAGTATATATAACCATATTGATTTAAGTTTGCGATTATTTTAACTTACAAATCGTTATTAATTGATCATAAATTTTACTTTTTAATCGTTTCATTAAAATTTCCCATAGTTAATATTCAAAATAGTCTTCTTCTTCTTTTTTTTTTTTTAAATTAAAATTTGAGAATTTGATCAAATCAAAATGTATTTTATGTTATATAAATGTAATACTAGATAGCTAACTGATTATATATTATGCAGTATGATTAAGAAACCGAAATCCATATGTGTGGTAGTCAATGTTTTTGTTTTTATTACTTTATCAGTTTGAATTTATTATCAAATTGTTATTTTATAAAGGTATAATGTATATTAAATATTAATATTTAATAATATATTAGTAGATTTGTGACTAAATACTAATACTTAAATATATTTTAAGTGCTAAACTTCTTAGTATAAATGCTGACTATTCTTCGGTGGCGGTTGACCGTTGATAGCACAGCAATATACAATATAATATATAGACTAACATATTATTACGTAATACGCAGGGAATTAAACTTGTATAACATTGAATTTAATACATAGTATTTACAAATAATATCTGTCTATACAAATATTTTTTATACAGTGTTTACACGTGTTGGGTTATTTTATATGAGTCCGATGGATATAATATAACACCAGCCCACTGTGCAAATGCACAGTACTTCAGTGGCCCAGTCCGCTATAGAATATACATTCATCACACGTATTTAAAAATGTTATTGTACATTTAATAATATTTTATAATAAATATAATATTAAATCACTAACATTTTAATTTATATTATTTTTATAACAAAAAGAAATGATGACAATAATTAATTTAAACATTGACTACCGTCTACCACGCATATAATATGGCTGTTGACTTCCAAATGTTATGCTAGTTAATTATCTATTATTGTATATATATATATATGTGTGTGTGATTTTATCAGACGGGATTATGATACTCATTTTAGTATTTCCTTGCATGTCAAACTTACTTATAGATACTCGTACATACAACTTATCAATATTTTCACTACTTCACGAAATGGATACTTAAGTTTTGTGCGTTTGTAGTGGCGCAGATGAAGATAGACGCGATCGATATAAGTTAGTAGTATTTTATCCAAATATTATACACGATAAAATAATTATAAATGGAAATCGGATATTAAAATAGGTACTACTTATAGTTTTAGTGTGTACGCTGATGTATATTATCTGTACAGTGAAAAACAGATTTAGAAAAAAATGACTTTTGAGCATCATCATTTTAATCAACTATCTAGATTAATGAATGTATTATTATTATAGATACACGTATAAATTTTTTATCCCACTTGATCGCATTTTAATCATAAGCATAAATAACAGGTATCGAATTTTTCACCATTAAAAATTTGATATAATGTGCGTACTTTGAAATTTAACGTAATCCAATATTTAAATGTTTGTCTGCGCAGTAACCATCATATCATATTCTATACAACACTAAAAAGTCTAAAAATATAGCGAATATAACTCTGAGCAATACTATACCTATATAGGTATATATAGGTGAAAAGCACAGTTTAACAAATAAGTCCGGTAAGTGAGTGGTTAAATCATTTGATATAATCACAGATATACATACAATATAATTGTATACATATATCTGTGGATAAAATTATATATAATCTGATTATGATCTACAGTCATTATAATAACCCTTTAGTTTTCTATATTTACGTGAAATAGTCAAATTCATAATGTCGTGTTTACCTCAAACACATCTATTTAATATTACAATATTATATTTCATAACATTGCACAAAAAACAACAACAAAATATTTTGTTTTCACTAGTTTTTTTCACTCGATTATTACTGCACATAGTTATTGAGTTCAAATTTAAACGATTCTATATTATATAATTATGTACTGGTGCTGCGTATATATAGATGGCGTATTAGTATTAATTATGCATACTAATTAAAAAGAAAAAGAAACGAAAAAATAGACTAAGTAGTTGATTTTTAGCTATCCACACCAACAGTAAACCAGTTCGGTAAACTATGAATAACTACGAGTATATTACGTTTAAATCATACAGTTATTATAGACACGTCTTATATATAAACTAGTTTTTAATTATATAGTCGAATATATTTCATATATTTGTACCAATTTCACTCGAACGGCCAGAGGTGTAACTGAGGTGTGTGTATGTGTGTGTGTATGTCTGAGATGGCATTTTAATCTTCCTTCGCAATAATCACTATGTACTTATTTTTTATACGTCGATTTGGTAAATAGTAACGAGATATGCATAGCTTATAATCCACCGTATATAGTTAGCGACCATGCATATATTTTTAATTAAATTCAGTTATATTAAAGATTACGATATTTTATTTACTCAGAACTAGTATATACGATATGATTATGGGTATGAATCGGAAAAACGTTCAAAGATCTAAAACTCCCTCGTCGCGTTTGTACGAATGATATAAAAACGCAAATATTCATTGTACCAAATGTATTTAATAGGTATATTATACATACCTATTAAATTGATTAATGTATATATTATATAATTTAATGATTTTCAACAGGCAATAATCTTGCGATTCGCTATAAATTTATAATAGGTCATAATGGGTATATTATGTGACACTACCTGCAACCATCATAATGAAGAGACCCGTTAAATTCAAAGTCCCAGCGTTTCTACGTGTGTAACGTATACTGCAGTGGACACCGACGCTGTGAAATAATAATCACACGGTGGGCGTAAAAATAATTTGTTAAAACGTCTCCTAACGCACTGCCTAAGTGTGCATAAATAACGTACGGTTACGCGTTATGCATATACACCCACTGGATCTACACGACGACCGTATATAATAATAATAATGTACCCGGTACACAATGACATGATATATATTATATGATATTATAATATCTTTTGTCGAGTTTTTCGCACTGGATTTATATCGTATGGATCGCGATGTCTACCGTTGCAGAGGCGACAACGGCGGTCGTGAGCGTCAGAAAATATAGGTACTCGTACCTATACCTATATAATATATAGTATGATATCTCTTATAATGCATACACTCACACCCGCCTC